CTGAGACCCTCCGCACATCTCCCCCCTCCTGAGACCCTCCGTAACCACCTCCGAAGAAGATGGCCGCTGTGCCACCATCATCATCTCTCACAGACACCATCCGCCATCAGAGACACGGAGGGGAAATTTAGCAAAACGAGTGCCGTTGTCCTCGGCAACCAATCAGCTTCTCTCTTTCATTTTCACATCTTAACTGAAGAGAAAAGCTGATTGGTTGCCGCGGGCAACTGCCCTAGATTCCATCTGCTCCAGTTTTGATAACGTCCCCCCCCCATTGTGCTCTTGTTCAATCCTCTTGGGTACTATTAGGAATCATTCACATGGAGGTTGTAGAACCAATTACAGTAAACTCTCAGTTATCCGGCATTCCACTAACCAGAACTCTCATCTAACCAGAAAAACAAACCTCCTGTTCTGCTAATCTGCGGCATGTGCTGGAAACGATCGTGTGTCTGTTTGATTACTTTATTTCAATATTAATATGAAGCCAATACAGAGTTTATGTTCTGGTATTGTATGCGCTGTGGCATTAGACTTATTTTTAATAGTAACTCTCAAGCAACCACAAACTACATTTATCCGGAATCTACCAATCCCTGTGCATGCCGGATAACCGGGAGTTTACTGCATATAGTACACAGCTTCATTAACAAAAAACCCGGCATCCCTTCTCTCCATTTCCATGTCAATCATCTATCACCGGTGAGCTCTGTTTCCGCTACAGGAAGCGCGATCAAAGACAGGAAGTGATGAAAGGTTCATACAGGAAGTTCCGGGTTAGAGGTGATTTGGGAGGAAGTGGAGAGGAGACATTGCTGGAACTAGAAGGAGAGAAGCTAATATGATATTATATTAATATAACAACACCCGGCATAGGAGGAACAATCGGGTGATCGCTGAACCCGTCATTTATTGAAATTGCTCCGCACCAGGTAACGCGTTTGGAAGTACCGAGGAACGCGTCCGGGTACGAAGATACGAGGTGAGTAGGGGAATGATTGCGCCCCTTGGATCAGATCGCATTGTTAATGGCTAACGCGTTTCGTTGTTGTTACTATATTACAGGAGATTCCCGTCTCACTGTCGTCTCTTGTTGGATGGCCAAGATTATTCTTCCCGGAACAGTCCAGATCATTCTCTGTTGATTATCTTATCTCCTGTATAGATCACATGACCACATCAACGAGGATGGAGGAGGAACAAGGTCACATGACTGAGAGGATACTGAACCTCACCCTGGAGATCATCTACCTGCTGACCGGAGAGGTGAGGAGGATTCTGGGAGGTCACATGACATCATTCTGATCTCTATTCATAACACACAGACCTGACCGGAGAGGTGAGGAGGATTCTGGGAAATCTGTGGTGATAACTGTATCTTTCTCTCACAGGACTACAAGGTAGAGAAGAAAATATCTGGTGAACCAATAACACCCAACAGATGTCTTCACAGGACGTCACCCATCACAGAGCCTCCACCTCACCGCCTGACAACAGAGGAGACCAGAGCCAAGAAGGTTCTAGAAGTCACCAAGAGGATGATGGAGCTGCTGACGGGAGAGGTGAGCGGCGCCGGGAATTCTGGGACATGATCCAGGAACAGACAAGGGGTGTGTCTGGGTGGTGACGGGAGAGGTGAGCGGTGCCGGGGATTCTGGGACATGATCCAGGAACAGACAAGGGGTGTGTCTGGGTGGTGACGGGAGAGGTGAGCGGTGCCGGGGATTCTGGGACATGATCCAGGAACAGACAAGGGGTGTGTCTGGGTGGTGACGGGAGAGGTGAGCGGTGCCTGGGAGTATCTAGAAGGACACCGGGATCTCTACAAGGACGTGGTGATGGAGAATGCCCCGCCCCTCACATCACCGGGTAAGTACGGAGGCTCCGCCTACATCCCCCATCATCTGATACACACATAGAAACAATGTATTCAGTCAGTGTGTGTGTTTCCTACAGATGGATCCAGTAAGAGGAACCCACCAGAGAGATGTCCCCGTCCTCTGTGTTCCCGGGACTCCACCCAGGAAGATCTCACCATCCCCCACCATGATCAGGTAGACAAGACTGAACATAGAGAATGAGAGGACATTCTTCTATGTAATCCTTTTTATAAATGTATTCTATCATCTTTGGATTTTAGGGTGAAGAACTGAAAGACATCAAAGTTGAGGTTAAAGAGGAAGAAGAAGAGATGTTGGTGGGAGGAGCTCAGCAGTCCATGGAGGAGGGGGAGATGATGGTGAAGAGTGAACAGGAGGAATCTTCTCTACATACGGACACAAGTAAGTCATAAACACTCAATATAACGTCATGTCCCCAACAAATGAGGAGGAGATACTGTACACCATATGAAGGTCCATCTCCATCCCTCAATATAACGTCATGTGACCAACAAATGAGGAGGAGATACTGGACACCATATGAAGGTCCATCTCCATTCCCCAATATAACTTCATGTGACCAACAAATGAGGAGGAGATACTGGACACCATATGGAGGTCCATCTCCATTCCTCAATATAACGTCATGTGACCAACAAATGAGGAGATCCTGTACACCATATGAAGGTCCATCTCCATCCCTCAATATAACGTCATGTGACCAACAAATGAGGAGGAGATACTGGACACCATATGAAGGTCCATCTCCATTCCCCAATATAACTTCATGTGACCAACAAATGAGGAGGAGATACTGGACACCATATGGAGGTCCATCTCCATACTTATAATTAATACAAATAATTTCTTTCCAGCAGGTGGTCAGAATGTTCGGAATAGGAAAGGATCGGAGGGACATCTTATTTTATCTCCATATGGTAAGGCAGAAGATGATGACATCACACAACATTCTCCGGGAGTGAATCCCATTACTCATAACATTCATCACAGACCTTCCCATTTGGAGACATCAATGGATCCCTCTAATCCCGAGGAACCTTCTTTAAGTCATGAAGGAGATCACACAGGAGCGAGTTTGTTGTCTTCTTTCCAGTGCAATAAACCTCTCACTGAATACAGAACACTTCTAGTACAGCCGGGAAGTCACTCCCGTGAACGTCCTTTTTCATGCTCAGAGTGTGGGAAAGGTTTCACTACCAAAGGACACCTTCATACACACCAGATCATTCACACAGGTCAGCGTCCTTTCTCGTGTTCAGAGTGCGGAAAAAGTTTCACTCTAAAAGCGAGCCTTTTCAGACACCAGAAAATACACACCGGGGAGCGCCCTTTCTCATGTTCAGAGTGCGGGAAATCTTTCACCATAAAAGGAGAGCTAATTAAACACCAGAGAAATCACACCGGGGAGCGTCCTTTCCTGTGTTCTGAGTGCGGGAAATGTTACAATACGAAAGGAAATCTTCTAGAACACCTGAGAGTTCACACGGGGGAGCGTCCTTTCTCATGCCCAGAGTGTGGAAAAAGTTTTACAGTGAAAAGAGACCTTCGTAATCACCTGAAAATTCACAAGGGTGAGCGCCCTTTCGCCTGTTCAGAGTGCAGAAAATGTTTCTATCGCAAAGCAGAACTTCTTATTCACCAGAGAAGTCACACGGGTGAGCGGCCTTTCTCATGCTTAGAGTGTGGGAAATGTTTCTATCGTAAATCATGCCTTTATAAACACCAGAAAAGTCACAGCAGTGAACCTTCGTTCTCATGTTCAGAGTGTGGAAAACGTTTCACCCTAAAAGCAAGCCTTTTCAGACACCAGAAAATTCACACCGGTGAGCGTCCTTTCTCGTGTTCAGAATGTGGAAAATGTTTCACTATGAAAGTAGACCTTCTGAAACACCAGAGAAGTCACACAGGTGAGCGACCTTTCCCGTGTTCAGAGTGCTGGAAAAGTTTCAGCGACAAAAGAGACCTACTCAATCACCAGAGAAGTCACACAGGTGAGCGTCCTTTTTCATGTTCAGAGTGCGGGAAATCCTTCATTCTAAAAGGAGACCTTCTTAATCATCAGAGTATTCACACCGGCTGCTATCCCTTTTCATGTTCAGAGTGCGGGAAGGGTTTCCATAAGAAAGGAAAACTTCTTGAACACCAGAGAATTCACACAGGAGAGCGTCCTTTTTTCTGTTCAGAGTGCGGGAAATCATTCACCATGAAAGGAGACCTTCTGAAACACCAGAGGATTCACACGAGTGAACGTCCTTTCTCATGCGCGGAATGTGGGAAATCTTTCACTATTAAAAAAGACCTCCGTAGACACCAGGACACGCACACAGGCGAGCGCCCCTTCTCATGTTCAGATTGCGAGAAAGGTTTCTCTAGGAAAGCAGAACTTCTTAGACATCAAAGAAGTCACACAGGCGAGCGCCCTTTTTCATGTTTAGAGTGCGGGAAAGGTTTTGCGCAAAAAAGGAGTTTAATTACACATCAAATCACACACACGTCTGCTGATGCTTTTGAGAAATTGTAAGTAGCTTTCACACAGATGGGATTGTTCAGTCTGATAAAGATCTCTATGATGGGGGGGGAGAAGCCTGTGGGGACCGGTCTACCAGCCAGACAGGACAGAGGATTAGGGGAGTATATTTTTTATTTGAGCCCCAACACCATAAATAGCAGTAAATCCTTTTTTATTATATTTTTGAAATTGTTTAATATACAGAAACAAAACAAAACAAAAAGATAAACCAATGTACAAGAAACATAACGTAAGCTCGTTTTACATAAGATAATGCAAAATAATAAATTACAAATAAAAGTTTATATCAGACTAGAGGTGTGAGCGTCTATCATTCCAAGTAGGGATGCACTGATACTGATATTGACCCTCCCCCTCCTGGGACCCTCTGGACATCTCCCCCCCTGAGACCCTCCGCACATCTCCTCCTCCTGAGACCCTCCGCACATCTCCTCCTCCTGAGACCCTCCGCACATCTCCTCCTCCTGAGACCCTCAACACATCTCCCCCTCCTGAGACCCTCCACACATCTCCTCCTCCTGAGACCCTCCACACATCTCCCCCTCCTGAGACCCTCCACACATCTCC